CTACAACCTAAACATTGAAACCAACATATGAAATGAATAACAACAACATCCACAATTACAACAAAGTGAAAAAAAAAAATAATATAATAGTAGACAAACTACACGTACATCATGTAAAACAGCTAAAAAACACAAATTAACAATTTACAACAAACAGGAATACAAACAATAACAACAGCAGCTGAAACAGCAACAACCACAGTAATCAGCCCAATAAAAATAGAGAGACTGGGCCAAAACAACAACAAAACAAACAAAAAATGGCACAAAATGTTAAAAGTGCGAAAATAATGTACTTAACATAACATTACAACAATGTAAATGTTGTATATTTATTTTGTTCGTTTTTATTTTTTTATTTTTGCTGGCTGATACTCAAGGCTGCTGCAGTAACTCATGTTGGCATATTGGTGAGACCACCACCACCACCGAAATAAAATAAAACAAATAAATTTTTTATTTTAAAAATAAAAAAACGACACAAATTTCTACTCCTAGACATTTAAATAGAGTACGTGAATCAACCAAGCAAATAAGATTTTTAGTTTTTTTTTTAACATCCAACCACTCAACCAGCCAACCAACGAACCATCCAGGAAAATAAAACTACTCTTCTCTTAGATGCTTTGGCAAGCAAGGCAAGTGACTGTATAACAAGTGATTAGATGTATTTTTTACTATGTTGTTGCTGTAAATAAACAACTAATACAACAACATTTCAAACATTACAATAAACAACTTTGACAACAACAATAATAAAAACAACAATAGTTAAAGTAATAATGTTAAAAAAAAGAATAACAACAACACTACTTAGCATTAATGTACATACAACAATGTTGTATTTTGTTTGATGCGGTATCTCTATTCTTTTTCTCATTGAATTAGGCCAAACTCCAAATAGAAAAGAAACAAATCTTTTGGTAAAAAACGTAAGTTAGATTTCATACTCATACATTAACCTTCCTACCATCATCATCATATGCACCACTGCCATCAACATCATCAATGTGTTGTATCATCATCATGTAAATATTTTATGGTCTACAAACTTCTTTCCCCTCTTCTAGTATTCGAATAAAATAACTAATTTTTGTTTTGGTGCCCCTTCCGAAAACTATACTATACACTTAACGATAAAAATCGTTCGGAAGTCAAACAACTTTTAGGCCAGACCACAGACTGGACTATAGTTAGTTAGTTTGCCTTTCGCTGATGTACGCATACATACATTAAAAACGGAAAAATACACCTAGGACTCTATCGGGCCTGTTGCGCGCTCCTTTACAGGTGTCTTAGGTGGGAATCGAACCCCCACGACCTCCAGTCTAGCAGACCAGAACACTAACCTACTAGTCTGTAGTTTATTTTATAAATCAGACTCCGACTAACCTATAGACTAGATTATAAACTAGACTAGACTATAGACTAGACTATAGACTAGACTATAGACTAGACTATAGACTAGACTATAGACTAGACTATAGACTAGACTATAGACTAGACTATAGACTAGACTATAGACTAGACTATAGACTAGACTATAGACTAGACTATAGACTAGACTATAGACTAGACTATAGACTAGACTATAGACTAGACTATAGACTAGACTATAGACTAGACTATAGACTAGACTATAGACTAGACTATAGACTGGACTATAGACTAGACTATAGACTAGACTATAGACTAGACTATAGACTAGACTATAGACTAGACTATAGACTAGACTATAGACTAGACTATAGTAGACTAGACTATAGACTCGACTAGACTATAGACTCGACTAGACTATAGACTAGACTGTAGACTAGACTGTAGACTAGACTATAGACTAGACTATAGACTAGACTATAGACTAGACTAGACTAGACTGTAGACTAGACTATAGACTAGACTATAGACTAGACTATAGATTTTGTATAGTGTGGACTATAGTTTATAAATTAGACCATAGTTCCTCACTAGTATTGTTCAGATAATGAATATTTTCGGTAATTTTCATGTACACAACACGATCATAGACGAACTTTTCAACAAGAGCATATAATATAATTTGGACTAACTAGCCTTTAATTTGTTCTATAGACAGGTCTATAGTGTGGACAATAGATTATAGTCTAGAGTAGAATATAATATTAGACTACAATATGTATAGTGTGGACTAGAGACTAGACAACAGTCTGAACTATAGAGTCGACTATATTTTATCGCTAACTATAGACTAGACTAGACTATAGACTAGACTATAGACTAGACTATAGACTAGACTATAGACTAGACTATAGACTAGACTATAGACTAGACTATAGACTAGACTATAGACTAGACTATAGACTAGACTATAGACTAGACTATAGACTAGACTATAGACTAGACTATAGACTAGACTATAGACTAGACTATAGACTAGACTATAGACTAGACTATAGACTAGACTATAGACTAGACTATAGACTAGACTATAGACTAGACTATAGACTAGACTATAGACTAGACTATGGACTAGACTATAGACTAGACTATAGACTAGACTATAGACTAGACTATAGACTAGACTATAGACTAGACTATAGACTAGACTATAGACTAGACTATAGACTAGACTATAGACTAGACTATAGACTAGACTATAGACTAGACTATAGACTAGACTATAGACTAGACTATAGACTAGACTATAGACTAGACTATAGACTAGACTATAGACTAGACTATAGACTAGACTATAGACTAGACTATAGACTAGACTATAGACTAGACTATAGACTAGACTATAGACTAGACTATAGACTAGACTATAGACTAGACTATAGACTAGACTATAGACTAGACTATAGACTAGACTATAGACTAGACTATAGACTAGACTATAGACTAGACTATAGACTAGACTATAGACTAGACTATAGACTAGACTATAGACTAGACTATAGACTAGACTATAGACTAGACTATAGACTAGACTATAGACTAGACTATAGACTAGACTATAGACTAGACTATAGACTAGACTATAGACTAGACTATAGACTAGACTATAGACTAGACTATAGACTAGACTATAGACTAGACTATAGACTAGACTATAGACTAGACTATAGACTAGACTATAGACTAGACTATAGACTAGACTATAGACTAGACTATAGACTAGACTATAGACTAGACTATAGACTAGACTATAGACTAGACTATAGACTAGACTATAGACTAGACTATAGACTAGACTATAGACTAGACTATAGACTAGACTATAGACTAGACTATAGACTAGACTATAGACTAGACTATAGACTAGACTATAGACTAGACTATAGACTAGACTATAGACTAGACTATAGACTAGACTATAGACTAGACTATAGACTAGACTATAGACTAGACTATAGACTAGACTATAGACTAGACTATAGACTAGACTATAGACTAGACTAGACTATAGACTAGACTATAGACTAGACTATAGACTATATACCAGACTAGACTAGACTAGGCTATAGACTAGACTATACATTAGATTATTGTCTATTCTGTCGATCAGACTATAATCTGGAACTTAGACTAGACTTAAGTGTGGACTATAGTTTATAAATTAGAACATAGTTCCTCACTAGTATTGTTCAGACTATAGAATATTTTCGGTAATTTACATGTACACAACACGAACTTTTCAACAAGAGCATATAATATAATTTGGACTAACTAGCCTTTAATTTGTTCTATAGACAGGTCTATAGTGTGGACAATAGATTATAGTCTAGAGTAGAATATAGTATTAGACTACAATATGTATAGTGTGGACTAGAGACTAGACAACAGTCTGAACTATAGAGTCGACTATATTTTATCGCTAAGTGTATAAAGCAAACAAACAAAAAACTATTAAAATAAAACATTATTATATTTATGCTCATAGTAAGACATTCAATGCACTTGTAAATTAGTCTTCTTTACAAATCCATACATAAATACTTGCATTGGCAGAACCAAAGCATATCAGTACATCGGCCAATGTGTATTTATGTTAAAGTGTATGTAAGAACATTATTTTTATTGTCTGCTAATAAAATAAATGGATTTATTTAATACATTCACGTTTCGGCTACAAACATAATAAATGGTGACAATTTCCACCAAAAAGAAGAAAAACTGCTGGTTTTCCTTCTATGCGAAACAAAAGGAAAAGCTAGAAAACTATAATGGACGAGAAGAAGTCTTACTGAAGAAGAGGGCAACAGTTGAAAGATGAAAATGTGTGGTAATAATAAAAGCTAAACAATTTCAAATTGTTACGTGACATCAAGTGACAGTTTACAAGTACTCATAGTTAAATCAGCTGAAAACTAAAAAGACACTAGAACCACAACTAAAAGAACTAAACAGACAAAGACTAACAGTCAACATCGTGGAGAGAGATATATGAGCAAAAATTAAATCGTCTTAAGACTTTAGACCAGCAGCATTTTTCGTTGGTATTTTTTGGATGGGGAAACTTTAAAGCACAAAATTTTGTTGTTTAGATAAATGCAGGTGATTTTTTACAGTTAAAATATTTTAATTTCAAGAAAGTAAATTAAGATTTTGTTTAAAATTTTTGTAAAAAACTAGACTAAACTAAAGACCAGATTATGTATATACTAGATTATATACTAGAATAGATTATAGAAAGGACTATAGACTAGACTAATAACTAGGCTTTAGACTAGATTTAACTATAGACTAGACTATAGACTTGAATATAGACTAGACTATAGACCAGATTATAGACTAGACTATATACTAGAATATATACTAGACTATAGACTAGACTATAAAGTAGACTATAAACTAGACTATATAATAGACTATAGACTAGACTGTAGACTAGACTTTGCACTAGGCTATAGACTAGACTACATACTAAGCTAGAGTCTAGGCTATAGACTGGACTATGGACTAGATTATAGACTAGACTATAGTCTACCGTCCTTTCTCCCTACCAAAATTTCACTTACCTTTTCCGGCTTCTTTTTCGAAGGTGGTGAAATAATTTTCGCCTCTTCCTCCGATGCCATTCGATTAAATTTACGCGTGGCCTCCTTAACACTTATGGGATTTTCAGTGTCCACATCGGGACCCGATGATTTCTCACCACTACCATCAGTTGAGGTAGCCGAAGAACCGGATGAAAAAGAAAAACGTGGAATATTTTCCTTATTACCACCGGTCTCATCTACAGAATTAGCTCTAGAAACACTTTTTTCTCGATTGGCTTTTTCTTCCAATTCTTTACGTTTATTATCCTCACCCTGGGGTGTAGGGGTGGGAGGTTCATTTTCAGAAGTTTGACGTTCAAGACGTTTAGGGTCAATACGTGACATGGCCGTGGTAAACTCATTAACACACTCACGATAGTTGTCAACGTTTTCCGTATGAACGGCAACACCAGTAGCGACTGGTGTTTGGGAAATTTTAGCCAGAGGAGAGGAAAACTCTGGGGGAGGTTTGTATGGAGGTGGCTGGCGGTAAGGAGAACTAGCCACAGCATCTGAAGTTAATGAAACTCCCCCGGGACTACTAGGCACTGAATCAGAGCCGCCAGCTTGTGAAACAGCACGTTGCACTACATCCTCAGACGGACATTCATTTAAATATTTCTTACGCAAAATTAAATATTTCTGATTGTTTTCATTTTTAATGGTGGCCAAAATATTCACATAAGTTTTAAATTCTTTACGAGCTTCATCTGGAATATTAGAAAAAAAAATCCATTAACATTTAATTTGTATTCCTTATCATTCATTTATAAGCAACAAGTATTTTTGTTTATATTGTACATGAAAAACAACAACAACACATTGTGACTCACTTTGTGTCTCGGGATGTGTGAGGAAACGTTTGAAATGCTTCACTAAGGCATGATTTGTTACTTTACAACCATTGTCCAGCATGTATTTACGTATTTCACTTAATGATAATTCTTTTGGTCCCTCCATTTTTGCAATATTTTATTATTTATCTTTTATAATTATAGCACAAATATATTTCACACACAAAAAAACACAGAATTTCACAAAATTTATAAACAAATTTGTTTTTTCTTCACTTTGAAGCAACAACACAAAACCAAACAAACAAAACAGCTGAGCGAACTGTCAAATAGCACGATAACGAACGAGTGTATGAACAAAAGTAACGAGTAGACAAGAAATATGTTCAATAAACGAAAAAAGCAAACAGCGAGGTGTGCTGTTTTGTGAGAAAGTGGAGGTACAAGCTAAATTATAAGTTGAAGTGAATGTTGGAAATGAAAAATAGACTAGATTATATGAAAAATAGTGTTTATATTGAAAATTTTATGATTTATTGTGTTTTTAAATATAAATTTTTGTTGTGGAATTCAATTTTGAATACATAATTATGAAATTATTTATTTCGTTTATCTATTTAATAAAAAATCTGTAAATAAATTTCTGAAATTTGAAATTATTATTCTAAATAAAAATACGCTAGATTCAAAAGATATATAAAATTTAATATTTATTAAAATGCCAAAAATATATTACAATGAGCCTAACTATTTTAGTAAAAAGTCCATATTGTATACTACACTAAGTAAAGATTCAATATGTCTTTGTTTTTGGCAAATTTTGATATTCTTCATTTTCGTTCTATTCCACCTTGAAATTAAAAAAACACTCTTCCAATTTTCAATATTCATCTATAAATTTTTATCATTTTAAAATTTCCCTCTTTAAATCCCGCTTCATTTTCAATAATTTATCATAATTAAAGAAAAACAGCAGAAAACATGTAAATCTTCTTGTAAATTACTTAATTTTTCAATGTAAATATATTCATTATTTATTTTGTCACAGACAAAAACTCACAATCATTTAAAGCGAAGAGACATAGTGGATCCAATTTTAAAAATAGACACAATTTTTGCCACACACATTTTCAATTCAAGGGGTACGTATGTACTACTATTAAATATTTATAATATGCGATGAGCATATTACCGCAGCCAATATTTAAATAAAAAAAATATTTTCGCATTAAAATTGCCAAGAAAATTAATTGTAAAAAATTGTTAATACACCGCAAATCATGCATTTTTACGTGTTAAATAATTGTTTGGATATTAATTTTCAGTTTTATAAAACAAAATTCATACAAATTTATCACTTTTGTGACAAATTAAATAAACATTTCTGAGTAAATTTAGGCGAATGGTAAGGTATTAAGTGAAATATGTACATATGAGGCACATGTAGGGGAATACATATTTTTTTTCCCCCTAAGAAAATGTAAAAAATAACAATATATAACATTATGTATTAGACTATATGTCTGTTCAGTTATAATGATTAGAAATTATTGTAATTACTGCGACTTTACGTATGAAGAGAGCTATACGACTGTCAAATTTTTTCCAGATATATGAAATTTTGTATTTAATTTATAGGGAAGGTGCCAAGCCCTCCATTGAAAGTCCGCCCGTTATTCTAAAAATGTTCACATGAATGTCAAAGTTCTTCATGTAAAATTTGAAAATTCTAGCTCTATTAGTTTCTCAGATATACGTTTTTTTCTATTTAATTCTGGGGCTTCAAGCCCACCCAGATGAAAGTTCGCCCTTTTTAATCCAAAATGTTCAGATGAATATAAAGTTCTTCGCACAAAATTTTAAGAATCTAGTTCTATTAGTTTCCCAGATAAACGAGTATTTAATTTATATGGGAGATGCCAACCCCCAATTGAAAGTCCACCCGTTATTCTCAAAGTGTTCACATGAATATCAAAGTTCTTCATGTAAAATTTCAAGATTATAGCTCTAATAGTATACGTATTTTTCTATTTAATTCATATGGTGGCTCCAACTCCACCTCCAGATGAAAGTCCGCCCTGATTTTTACAAAATGTTCAGAATAAAATTAAAATTTTTCATGCAAAATTTGAAGAATTTAGTTCTTTTAGTTTCCCAGATAAACGAATTTTTGCATTTAATTCGTATGGGTGGTACCGCTCCCCTCATTGGTAGTCCGCCAATTTATTTTACATGGATGTTATAGTTCTTCGTGCTAAATATCAAGATTGTAACTGTAATAGTTTCCAAGATAAACGTCTGCCTACTTTTTGTCCTAAATAATCATATTGATACTAAAGTGGCTCCTACAAAATTTGAGAACTTCCAAGTATCTTGAAAGTGATGTTATTCCGGAAATAACACTCCTAACTAACACTGATTGGAAGATTCTTAGGAATTACGTTCAGGAAACCGAGTTTATGAATCACTGAAAAATAATTCATTCAGTTTCCTTTTTTTCATGATAAGGAGCACACAACAAGCCCGATAGTGGCCTAGGTGTACTTTTTCGGATTTGATGTAGTATACATCCTCTTATCAACCTACCTACCTACCTAACTGTTATATGGACTCAGATATACTAACTTCATATTTTCTTAATATGGGCGTGGCTTCTCGCCCACTTGAAATTTCAAAATTTCCAGACATAAAGGAATACACTGTGAAAATTTCAGCCGTTCAGTAGTCTATAATCTTCAAATATACAAACATTATTATATGTACATATATGTTGATTGCGTTTAGACTATTCCATCCGTTCCCTTCTACACAAAATTTTGAGAAATCATATTATTTGTGGTATAAAAGGGCCTTAAATATAACACTTTTTTCAAATATTATCAGATTTGGCTCAATTAGTTTAAATAAAATCAAATTTCGTTTTTACTCCCTTGGTCCAAAACTAAGCCAAATATATGGTAAAAACAAACTCCTTTTAACATTCTGATGTCCTAGGTAAGGACCACGTAATACATCTATGCATTATATCAGAGTAATCTGAAATCTAAAATTGTGGGAGTACGTGATCCGCACCATAATCTTATGTAATGCAGGCCATGTACCATATTGTTATAAAGAAATAAACATGATCTATGCTTGTATTACATAGGCCTACTAAACGTCTCATGGAGAAGTTTTGAGATTACCCAAATGGATCATGTATTCCAATAATTTTTGCAGGGTACATACAATAAGATATATTATTCGAAGGGGAGATAGAGTCGTACCGACATTTCCGAAAATAACACAAGGAATTTCATATCTATCAATAAACTAAGCTTTTGAATAGATATTTTTAATTACATTTACAAAGAATTTATTTTTCATACAAGTTAAATAAATTGTCTTGTATGTTCTTTTTTTTAAATTTTGATTTCCAATTACTTTTGTAACATGAATAACTAACAAATCGTCTATAACAAAGTATATAGATATATAGTAAAAAATAGATTCATATAAACAACCCCTCTAACACTTTGTATGTATTCTGTTCAAATTTCAATATTTCGAATGTTGTTGTATATTTCATTTTGGTTTTTCCACTTGACAAACATTTACAAATTGCAAACATTTTAATCACAATCAAATATTCAAATTCATTTTTCTTCCACTTTTTCTGTAAACGATTTTGTTGTTATATATTGTAACTGCTGCAGTCAGTCAATAAACATGCTACTAAAATAAATTTGTTTTTGAATAAAATGAAAGTATAAAATAATAATAAACTAAATAAAATTGCAAATATATAGATACATATACAAATACTTTTAACTACATTTGTTTACTCACTCCCAAGAATCTTAATAAATCTATAAATTGTTGTGTCTATTGTCACCAACATCATCTTCAGTAGCAGCCGCCCCATACATTTTGCATATTGTTTCAATACTGCTACTATAGTAGTTTAAGTCACTTACAGATGCTCTGGAAAATCTCTTGTTCTTTCATTTTGATTTTTTTTTCTGTTTTGATTTTGAAATCATTTTCTTAAAAATTTGTGTTAATTTCATTTTCGATTTACCACATGTGTATTCGTTTGTTTGTTTGTATGTTGTGATTGTTTTCAATATGAATGTGAAAATTGTTGAGATGTCGTCATTTATCATTTGCACAAATATTTGCAACCAAATAACAAATATTATAACATACGAATGTATCTGCAATAAAGTGCAATTTAACAATGTATCTTTTAAGATACATAGATATTTTAAGTACCTTTCAATGGCAGTGAGCAGTTTTATGTATTTGTAAAAACCAAAACGATTACTTGAGGTTATATGTAGTTCTACCAACATGTAGTAGAATGTAAAGAAGTTTTAAGCAGAAGGAACTCTAGACCAGACTATAGTACAAACAATAATATTCTATAATCCAGATTATTCTATAGTACAGACTATAGTCTATTCCATAGGCTATTCTATAGTGTAGACTATAGTATATTCTGTAGTCCACAAAGTAGTCTATTCCTTAGTACAGACTATAGTTTGTTCTATAGCCCAGACTATAGTCTATTCTATAGCCCAGATCATAGTCTATTCTATAGTCCAAACTATAGTCTAGATTACAGTTTATTCTATAGTCCAGACTATAGTCCAAATTATAGTCTATTCCATAGTATATTTTATAGTCCTGACTGTAGTCTATTCTATAGTCCAGTCTGTAGTCTATTCTACATTCCAGACTATAGTCCAGTCTGTAGTCTATTCTACATTCCAGACTATAGTCTATTCTATTGTCCAGACTATAGTCTGTTCTATAGTCCAGATTATTGTCTATTCTATAGTCCATTCTATAGTCTAGACTGTAGTCCATTCTATAGTCCAATCTGTAGTCTATTCTACATTCCAGACTATAGTCTATTCTACAGTCCAGACTATAGTTTATTCTATTGTCCAAATTATAGTCTGTTCTATAGTCCACATTATAGTCTATTCTATAGTCCAGATTATAGACCACTCTATGGTCCAGACTATAGTCCTGATTATAGTCTATTATATAGTCCAAACTATATTCTATTCCTTATTATATTTTATAGTCCAGAGTATAGTATTCTGTAGACTAGACTGTAGTCTATTATATAGTCCAGATTATAGTCTATTCTATAGTCCAGTCTGTAGTCTATTCTACATTCCATACTATAGTCTATTTTACAACCCAGACTATAGTATATGCTATAGTGCAGACTGTAGTCAATTATATAGTCTGGTCTATAGTCTAGACTATAGTCTAGACTATAGTCTAGTCTATAGTCCAGACAGTAGTCCATTGTACAATCCAGACTATAGTTTATT